GGAAGCACAAACATACGATAAAGTCTTAATTTCATTTCAGGAAGGTCCGAGGTTTCGGATTTTCTCGAGCAACCTTCATCAGATGTAACCGCAGAATAGTGTGATACAGACACACCACCGCTCGGGGTCGTATTTGGTGTGGTCAGAGCTTGATAGTCAGATTCCGAATCATTAAGTGCCGCGAGTTCTTTGTTTGTGTTGGATGCAGGCTTCATACTTACACAACAATTATGTTCGCTGCTGTTGGAATTGTTGCTGGGCCCGGCCCTTCCCACTTGTCAGACTCCCCTGCTTAGATTAGGTGTCACTACAGAGTATAGGAACGGCAATTTGTTGCGCTTGTTGATTGACTGTGGGCCAGAGGGCCATGACTCAAGCAGCTCACGCGGTTGGCATCGTTTGCGAGGATTTCGGCCACGTTAACATGGCCGGGTGCTATCGAATGCAATGCAATCCGGGAGTTGGTCCCTTTCCTCTTCATCGCTGCTGCATGCTCGGCTTTTCGCGTCCGGAGTAATCTCGCGGTTTCTCTGACGTAGTTGTTTTGTCCACAACTGCACCAGATCCGGTAAACGACTGCAGTTGTTTCCTGCCGTGGCAGTGGGTCTTTCAGTCTCATGCCCCGGTGCTTGATGGCTGCTTCTGGCCTGTGCGCAACTCCAACTCAAATTGGAGTGAGGAGGCGGCCAACTGCTTCCGATACATTCTTCATGTACAGAAGACCTCGCTAAAACGTTGAGTAGGTTGGATTTGGTCTCTTGTTTCGTCTGTGTATGCATTGGTTGATAAAATTGCGCGGCTAACCATTCGCTCATAGTACCCGTCGATTTTATTGTAATTCAGCAACTTTATCTTTCACTTCGATGCAATGCGTCTCAACGCGCCGGTATAGCGCTCTCCCGCAGCTGCATTTGTGATTAATTGGGAGGGGGGTTCTCGACAGGATCCGAAGCGTCAGACAAATAAACTTCTTGTTCCGGCTACATCATCTTCTATTTATGAACCATCAATTCTCCATGGAGACGTCCTTGTCCGCGACTAGAAGACTACCTATCCGCTGAGCTAGCTCGTTGCTGAAATGGGGAGCATGAGCAGGCACATCCAATAAAACAGTATCCAACTTATCTGCGGGTCGCGTACCTTGAGGTCTCTTGGGGGGCTGGAGAAAAATCCACATGTTGAAGATGATGAGGCGATGCTTGTCCTTCCGTCGGCATCCGGGATCGTCTTTGTCACCAGCATGTCCTGCTGGTCTCGCCGTCGGAAGAGGACTTAGTCCAGTAGATGTCAGGCAATCCTATGCGTAGGTTCACAGGAAGAGCAAGCCATTACCATTGGAGCCGTTGTGACCATGAGGGTCCGGCCGTTCTTTCCAGGCAGTTTGACATGTACAGACATGGGTGTTGAAGTCACCAAGGACATTCAACTTATCCGCTTTCGGCACAGTTGCCGGAAGTTTTGATTTGTTTAAGGCTAGTGCACGGCACTGTTTACCTTTCGTGAATTTACGGAGCGGGAGCGAAACTATGAAGACCGTAAATGCGATTCAGAAGAAGAGGCTGCGACCACTGGAACAAGATTTTTATTTTCCCCAAGGTTTCGGATTCCGTCGGAATCTTTAATCATAGATAATGGTAGCATAGTCATAGTCATGCGCAGATAGTGTTGAAACATGCACAGACTGCACGGTATTTATAGTGCATAGTGGTCATCCGCGTGCGTACGATAATTATCCACTTCTGTCGCCACCGCTTGGGTCTTAATTGGTGCAGTACTGGCTTGCCACTTTGCGTTCGACCCACCATTTGCTACAATTGCCTTGTCAGCGTCGAGTATGGGTCTGATAATTGCGCAACAGTTGTGCCCGCTGTCGTCAGAGTTGCTGCTGTGCCGGCCCTCCCCACGTGACCGATTTTCTTGTTCAGAAAACTTCTCATTACACCGTATGGGAACCCCAAATCATTGCGCTTGTTGATGAACTGGGGGTCTGAGAACCATGCCTCGAGCAGTTCGCGGTCACGTGGTTGTCACCTCTCGCGAGTCATGGTTCTTAGGCCCCCAGTTTATCAACAAGCGCAACAATTTGGCCTTTTCCTACTGGGTACTGAGAAATTGCTTGAACAAGAGAACCAGTCACGTAGAAAGGGCCGGGCCCAGCAACAACTCTGACGGCAGCGAGCATAATTGTCGCGCAATTACCAAGTCCGCATCCAACATGGTCAAGTAAATCACAGCAATTAATGAGTTGAACGCAATGTGTCAAGCCATCACCGCACCAATTAAGACCCCAAGCGGTGACTATGGGAGACGGGCTGATAATTATAGTACGCATGCAGATGACTGCTACGATCTATAAATACCGTGCAATCTGTGCATGTTTCACCCTTATCTGCGCATGGCTCCGATTATCCTACTATTACCTATGATTAAGGATTCCCGACGAAGTCCGAAACGTTAGGAAAATAAAAATCTTGTTCTAGTGGTCGCATCCTCTTCTTTTGACCTGCTTCCTGGAACTCAAATATTCTTAACTATTGATATAAATGCGGTGCCGACCGTAAACATTTTTGGTCTCGGTTATCGATTATTTAGTGAGGGTAATAGACGATACCTTTGAAAACCCTGTCATGCACGTGCTAGTGCGCCATATGCATTTGTACACGCATGCTTAAACAGTTTTACTATCAAAATATTAGTCACCATTTGTGAGTTACATTGTTTTTACAAATAACTTTCCTTTCCATTTGCTTGGTATTGGTTTGGGTTAAGGCTGCCGAAGGAAAACAGTGGACGCATATAATTATCCCAACGTTACTTGAGCAGTTGTTGGAACGTCGATCCACGTCCAACTTTGGGAAATTATTCTATTACCTGCCGTGTGAAGAATTCAGTGCGGTGATTTAACTTAGGTGTATTTGCAGTGCATGCCACCCGTAGTGTCGAAACTACATAGTACAAGTGCGCAACAAGCGAAGGCTTGAGGCCACGGACGCGTTCTGAGGACTTCTTTGTTTTGACTGGTCACCCTTCGGTTTATTACATTTAACTCCATATAATAGGCCGAAGGTAACAAAAGGGCATGCAAATATATATTCAATTACATTATACTGCTCGTGATAAGCGAGTAGGCATGTTTTAGTATTGTGCGAAAATATTCGAGGTCCACATAAAATATTCCTTACATCGTCCCCGGAAGAGTTTTTGGAACGTCAGCCAGAGTAAACTTTGGTCCCAGAAATTGCCTCTACTTCTTCTTCCTCTTCCGGGGATGATGTAAGGAATGTTTATTACTACTTAGACTGTCTGGCAGCTGCTGCGACCTCACCCGCAACATGTAATTGATGTATTTTTTTCTTAAATTTTCTTTGTCCCCATATATTTCCTATCATTTTCTTACCAAATGGGAGTTCAAAGGCGTTCGCCTGTCTATCCCTCAATAAACTGATACTGATAATACACCCCGCTTTTTCAACAAAACTCCCCAGTTGTGCTGTCTCCCGTTCTTAGTACATATCTTGTCTACAAACATCCTTCTATTCTGTATGCATTATATTGCCGGCGTAGGTTAATGCCTATGGCTTTATTATTACCTACGCCTTTACCTGGTCATAAGGCGCTCTGAAAACCTCAACTGACTTATGCTTACAATGGAGAAGGGCATTTGAGGATTATGTTCAAATAATTCTTATGTTGTCATGTACGATTACACTAGACGTTAGATATGATTTTAAATTCCTCCGGAGCCATTTCGGAGGGCTGGGACAAGGTTACTTCGACGCCCTGAAGTTGCAATAGGCTGCTGGTCTCCAAACAGCCTTCATGAAGCTCGAGGAAATGTGGTGCGGGAAAGACGACATCTTTCTGAGCCACTGCTAGTTTTGCCAAATGCGTCAGGAATCCGGTAAATACCTTGTAGATTGTTTTGCGCGTCTGAGTTTCGCCATCCAGGACTGCAGCTACAAAGAGATCGAGGCAGACAAATTCGAGTAGGCAATGTTCATTCAGCAGTCGTTAGTTGGTTCGCGACAGCAACTTTATCAGAGTTAGAAGCCTACCGTGCCGCACAACCTCCACAGTTTTCGAAAACTGCGCAAGGAGTTTTTTTTTCACTGTCTGCTCTTTTTTATTTTGTCCCACCTAATAGCTCGTACAATCGGCATCCTCTCTGGGCCGAGATACGATACTTTTGTGATTGTACTGCTCGTGATGAGTTAGTAGTCGTGTATATTTACCGTTTCCCACTAACTGACGGTCGATCTCCTTTCGCCTGCAATCACGTGAACGACCACTTTTTTGAATTTTTCAGTCAGTATGTAACCAATGGGGAACTCAAAGGCGTTTGCCTATCTTTCCTTCAATAAATCTGAAATGAACTGAACGCTATGTATACTCATTCTTTTCCTAAATTTCTAAAATCTTCCCGGACTTGCAATCAA